ACTGTTGAAGACCCTGTGGACCATCCCCTCTTCCTTCTCCCACCATCCTGAATTTTGGTTTTGTTACTTCCATTTTTTTATTTTTAAAAAATGTTTTATATTTGAGTATAGTTGACACGCTGTGTTACGTTAGTTTCAGGTGTACAGCATAGTGATTCAACTCTATATTATGTTGTGCTCACCACAAGTGTAGCTACCATTTGTCACCCTACAACACTGTTACGGTATTATTCGTTTTGTCATTCTATGTTTTTATTCTTTTCCTGAGTGTGTGTAAATCTAAAAAAAATGTAGCCTGTTCTGACTTTAAAATTTTTATATAAATACAGCATGAATCATTCTACAGCTTGCTTTTTCTCACTCAGCTTCAGGTTTCTGAGATGTAGCCTTCTTGATCCTTGCAGCTCTGGTCCCCACTTTCCCTGATGTATGGCATACCACCCGATGTAGAGTCCCCCATTTATTTATCGGCCTTCTTTATGGACATCGAGGTAGTTCCCAGCATCTTGCTATTCAAACAGTTAATATTCTTATAGGGTTGTCCTTTGTACACATGTGAGTTATCTTTTCGGTTGTCCCACAGGAGTGGAATTGCTGGGTTATAGGATATGGACATTCAGTATTTTGAAGTTATTTGGTTTCATTATAAAAGTAGTGCTGCTGCAGAGGTGCCTGGGTGGCTCAGTCAGTTAAGTGCTCGACTCTTGGTTACGGCTTGGGTTATGATCTCCCAGTTCGTGAGATGGAGTCCTGTGTTGGGCTTTTGCTGACAGCATGGAGCCTGCTTGGGATTTTTCTCTCCCTCCCTCTCTACCTCTCCCCTGCTTGCTATCTCTCTCTCTCTCTCTCTCTCAAAAGTAAATAAATAGACATTAAAAAAAATAATAAAAGTAATGTTGCTCCAGACATGATGGAAATACATAACCATAGAAAAAAAGTAACAACAGCTAACATTTCCTGAATACTTCTTATTGTGCTTTACATTGTCTTAGTTGTTCTTCTCAACAACACTAGGAGGTGGGTACTGCCACTCCTAGTTGATGAGAAAACTGAGGCTTATAGAGGTTAAAGAACCTTCCTAACTTTTTCCAACAAGTAACTGCTGAGCTATAGTTTGAGACCAGGGTTATCCACTTTCAATACTCTTGAAGGCCACACTGTACTAGGCCATGTCACATCCCTCCATGCCACATCATGCTCAGTTTTATTCACAGCTAAGGGGACTCTCTGGAAGGAGAGTCACAATCATATATGCAATTTGGGAAGGTCACTTTGGGGGGCACCTGGGTGGCTCAGTTGGTTGAGCATCTGACTCTTGA